AATGTAATGAGGCAGTCACAAGGGGAAAGTCCCTCTGGAAGGAGATTCTTAAAAACCGCTCAAACTCGGTTAACAAGTCTCCCTAATGCCATACAGCCCTGCTTTCTCCCCTATAGAAGCTTCACTCTAAGAAGTTGTAAGTATTTGAAATAAGGGTACTTTCGGAGTGTTGGGGATTGAATTCGAACCTTTAAATAGCTCGCTCCAATGCCACAGCACAAAGCGTGCTATAACTCTAACTGCAGCTTTGTCGCCGCGAACAATTAATATTCAAGTGCTGGCACTTGCATTCCGTCGTATTTTCTTTTTTTTGCGACTTATTATGCTTCATTTATAGTTTATTTTTTGTTTATTATATGTGGTTTATTATGGCTCATTTTCTTCGGTTTCTCAAAACTATCCTTGATTATCGTCGACTTTTTTTTGTCGTTTATTTTCGCAGATCTTCATTTTTTCGGTGTTTGTTTGTCCGCTGCTGATCTGGTCCGCTGCTACCAGATTAGCAGCGGACAGGGGGGGGGGTCGTATCGAGACCCTTTTTAGAGGGGTCTATTAGCTGAAATTGTCACGCTTGAGAACAACCGGCAGTGAGAGAACGCAGACAGTTAGCGCGATTTGTTGCAGTTGGGCGTGTTGAATGTGCAGCCGCGCGGGCCATCACACCACGGGAGGATTCACTGCCCTTAAGCCTCGTTCCCGTGCACTTCTGAACGGAGAAAGTGGCACGCTCATGGCGGCAGTGAATCCTCACTTCGTGCATAGCAAGGATCAGGATGAACGCTGACGAGTGTACAGCACAGTACAGTTTGTCTTGAGATTATCTTATCTAGCGGCTAGAACTTGTGTAAAGCTTAAGCCCACCGAATTTGTCATTTGTGCTAACAAGTGGTGGTAGAAACAAGCCTATGTTCAGTTTTGATTTCAGTACAACTGGCGCACAAATAATGGTGCTAAGTTTGTCGTTGGTGGGAAAATAGAGCGCATCATACTTGTATATAGTGACCGCTCGATACCTACGTGAGTTACATAGTTCATTGGCCGTGCTAAATCTTAGTGATTCTCTCTATTTGTTCAAATAGAGCAGCGTTTACTTACATTTCTTGTATTTTCTCAGTCATACTATCATTTCTTTTCAGAGCATCCTGGGATGCTCTGCAGAAACTCATGAAGAGTAGAGGAATTCAGTTCGGGAAAATGGAGCCTATGATAATCAAGTATTCAAACAGCTTGGAAATGGAAAGTCAACTGACAGAAATTTTCAAAAAGGTAATCTCGCATTCTCCGCAGCGCCCAATTTGAAGTCAGTGGGAACGATGGCCGGGGGCGGGCCGTTGTTGCCAACGTCATCGGTGGAAGGGCCTAAGCGGTGAATGGCTGAAAGCCCTCTCGCATGATTAATGACCTGGGAACAACAGCCCGCCCACAATCACCGTGCCCACTGCCTCAGCTGGAGAAAAGGCAATAGAGTGGAGTCTCTACTAGATATGGTACCTACATGTCGACTAATCTCTCATGTCTTCGGTTTGGATTTGGTAACCGCATGTGCTATGTCGAGTACGATTGCGATGTACTAGTTCTTGAGCTTGCTGAATGGGGCTCCCAGTACCTTTACTTCAGTTCCTAAACATCCGTCATGATGCGTGAAATCCCTACGCAAAAAGTAACCCAATTACGCATTCGCTCAGGAGCCATTCCCAAGGTTCGATAGCGCTTGGTGAGAAAGCCAGTGGTAGCACGCGGTAGCCCGTCCACGCCCACGGAGTGGGCCTTTACCCTTTTTACTCCTGTTCACAATTACTGTTTATCGTCTGTGTACCTTCTCACTAATTCGTCGTCCATTTCTCGTTTTTACGCTGAGTGTCTCTTTGCCGTATGTCGGTACTAACCTGACCGCAGAGATCGTATTTAGTGGTGTTTCGGGATGTGTCTATTGCTTTTCTCCACTACTAAATCAATACTCTAAATCGCATTCCAAATTTGTCGAGAAAACTTATTGCCTGCTGCATTGGGTGCTAACTAGTTGGGAGGGGCCCACGCGTCCGAGGCGAGTGATGACTCATCGGACTCTTCACTCATTGACATACTTGGAGCGTTAATCTAGCAGCAAAATTAGAATAAAACAAACAACACGAAAACTTGCTGAGAAATCCCACAGAAGCTGAAAACAACAAATGTTTGATCTTTTATAGTCAAGAATCAACAAAAAGGCAACAATCGTTTGTATTTTAGGCAAAATCTTCCAGCCTACAACTGTTTCTTCGCACTTTTCAGCCTTAACTGTTTTAGCTTTTGAATATAGCTAGGACGGTGTTATATCCATGTCCTAAACATGAAATTACTTCTTTTTTGCCGAGGAGGAAGCAGAAGAGTCGATGAGTCATCACTCGCCGCGAGCCGCGTGGCCCCTCCCAAGCTACGTTAGCACCCTGCATTGAGCTGTATCTGGTCCCTGATTTCGTCAATCAGCGAAATGACAAAGCCATGTCATCTTGTCTCTTCTTCTTTATGAATGTTGTCAAGGTTTTTACAGGTGAAGAGTGACAAGGAAAAGCTCAAGAAGTCTGCCTTCATCATCTTCATTGATCCGCTTGAGGACAAATCACATGGTATTAAGTGTTTTCATAATTCATGTGTCTATTTAAAAGCATTTCAATGTCATTTTAGATTTCCTGAAGCTCCAGGAAAGAAGATACCTAATACCTACGCAACACATGACAGTAGAAATTGCGCACGCCCTTTCAACGTAAGTCTTGCTTGCTGTTGTAATTACCGATGTGAATGGTTCCTTGCCTCGCTTCTAGTGGAGGCAGCAAAGTCATGATCCCTGCAAATGAGGGGGCAGTAAACGTTTGTGGATTGGACAGCAGCCGAGGCAGTCTTTTCCACCAGTAACCCTTGCCCAGGATGAGTTGATTTTTGAAGAAGACCGCGCTGTTGCTCCAATCCCCGCCTCCTCGCGCAGCCTTTCGTCTACAGGGCTCATGACTGTGATTACCCGTTACTGTACGACTTAGGAGCAGACAGCATTGCGAAAAAATGTTTTAGGAGTTTTTCCATGGAGTGTACTTCTGCCACAGCTTTATTCCATCTCCTTAGCAAATTTGATTGATTTAGGAAGCCACAATGCTGTGCAAATTTTGTTTCGAAGATGAATCTCAAACTCGGTGGCATGAACTACGAAGTTGTGCCGGAGAGTTTTGCGTGAGTTTGAGTACCAGGTTGTTTTCCTCGGATTTTTACCATTATACCAAAGGCAAGCCAAAGGCTTCATTTGAAACAAACGAATCTGTATTCGGACCACAGAGCTCATTAACTGTAATCGCAGCCTGTCTTCAGCTGGATGCTTAATGGCGTCTGTGAATTTGTTGCGAGCGGATAAGAGGGGGAACTTGCCGCTAAATCGTAGTGTTCTTGTACCGCCTTCACTATTTGCAAACACTACCCTCTTCTTTTCCTGAACTGACAACCGTAAACCACCGTCACCCTTACGACTAAGTCCGTGACCACCCTCAATAGGCGAATTGACATGGACTGTATGTTACCTTGTATACCATCCTCCGAATCAGTGCAGATTCAGATAGAATTGTCACCGATTTAAATTATATATGTGAATTAGCTGAGGATTTCAGGCAAAACATATGGATTTCAAAACGCAAAACCCTGATTGTTGGTTATGATGTTGCTCATCCAGGAAAACCTAGTCGTGATGAAGTCATGAACAAGATCCCTCCGGAGAAGCCTAGTGTTGTAGGGGTGAGCTATTTCGAAAGGATATCGCTCACCTTCAAAACATTCATCTGCAAAATTGACAGAAACAAAAAGACTTGATTTGGTTTTTTCTTACAGTTCTCGTTCAATGGAGCTGTGCACTGTGAAAAGTTCATCGGTGACTATCACTTCCAAACACCACGTCGAGAACAAGTGAGTATTTCGTTGAGGTTGAAGGCCCGTTTCATGCTTAGCGCAGAGCTGAAGAATCGGTGACTAAAAGAAGAGCACTGAATACGAGTTGATCAGGAGAATTGCAGAATTTCTCGAAAAATGGGAATGTTAAGGGACGCATCGACACGACTGGGCACTGAGCAGCTTTTCCCCCAAGGTTACGACCCCTCCCCGGCGTAGAGATGCCTTCCCTAGCAGGCCTATACTTTGAGGGCGTAGGGGAGCAGATTGGACCAGCCTAGTTCGGCCTCCAGGGTATAGCATCACGATGTGCCAGATGGCGGTATCATTGCGATCCCTCCACGATTCTCTATGATGTGACACCCCCCCCCCCACCCTTACAGCTTACCTACATGGCTCCGAAATTTTCCATCTCTCCCCCCTTTTTCCACTTTTGTTCCTGTACTGCGGCGCCGGCTACTTTAGGAAATTCAGTGAGTGAATGCAAAGCAACATCAAAAGCAAATTCGATCCCCCATACCTGATGGCATTTTGCCAGCGATGCTGCACCCTGTTCCCGCATGTCCTCCCCATCAGTAACGAACTGAACAAGAACATACGGCTGTCATTCTCCTCAAAACGCTCAGCTGGCAGAGCAAAAAGTGACCTGCGTAATCCCCTGCGTGCGTATTCATTGTTCTTCAGCGATTTTTCTGATCCCAAACTCGACGCTGACCATGAGCGCAGGCCGAAATATAGTGGACTTTTTATGAAATGAAGTTTGATAGGTGGATGCTCATGTGCTGAACGTTCGATTCAAATGGATGCTCGGATTGTTCATTAAGAATCGGAAGACGTGGCCTGAAAGTGTTGTTATCACTCGGGATGGTGTGTCAGAAGGCCAATATAGGATGGTACTATACTTCTTTTCATGTTGTAACTACGGTGGTAACCTTGGACGCATTGCAGGTGATTGACGAAGAACTCCATGCCATGAAGCAGGCTTGTGAGGAGTTTGCTAAGCTCAATGGTAGAGATTCATGGGTCCCACGTTTCACTGTGGCTATAACAACGAAACGCCATAGTGCACGTTTCTTTGCTAAAGATAATGGTGAGGTGGTAGTTTTTGCTTTAGTGCCAGGTCTTGACGTTAGGAAACGGCTGTGTATCTGCTTAAGTTGTTTTCGTTATGGTGACTGCTATTTTACGCTGTATGTGTTCGGAAAGTTATCACAAGAACGCTGATGTAAGGGCAAATCTCGGACCCAGGACGGGACTCGAACCTCAAATTTCTCGTTTACCGGGCGATTGCGTCATTCATTACGCTACCATGGCCACTCTTACCTGGGCGCCTGCGATGAGAGCAATGCGCCGCCCACCGGCCACTGCTCCACCCATTTTTTGGAGGATCCCTAATGATGCGTTCGTTCCAGTACTAGACCTTTTCGTTCCGAACGGTGGTAGTGAAGTGAAGAGAGGAATGAGCTCATATATGTATGACGTAAACCAGTAATGACTCCTCCAAGGACGCCCCCTTTTTGCTGTACGCAGCGAAAGGAGGCCATGTCTAGGGCATTCCCGACGGTATTTCTGCTTGTTCTTCACCACTGATCCACTTTCCACCTTGTCATTGGTTTGCCTCACCATTTGCCACACCCCACTACCTTTGATTTACTACACTTATATTCAGCTATTCTCCAACAGTCTCGCTCCCAGAACAAGGCACTTGGAGCCGTTGGGGAAAATTATAAGCAAAATATGACCCCACTCCTACGTTTTCCGTATTTTCCGTTCTGCCCCAAGATTTCGCCTTGGTGGTGGTAGGAAAGGTGGTGGGATAACTATCAAATGTGAAACGAGAAACCGTCATTATCACGCGTTTCTGAACAGTGAGATTGAGCTCTGTGCTTGAAAACGGGCTGATCTGCCTAGAGGTCAGTTCATCAGTTCATTGCGTGATGTGCCTTCGAGTAAAAATAGATTATTGTTCGTTAGTAACGCACTTTCGCACCTTTGAGTATGCCACGACTCGAATTCCCAGTCAAGAGCGAGTTCTGCGTGGGACCTGATATCACTTCCCATCACTATGAGTTGCCCACAATTCGAAACTACTGAAGCAACAACTTAAACATTAAGGTAGTATTACGAACCCAAAACCAGGAACTGTGGTCGATACAGAAGTGGTTCGTAATGATATCACCGAGTTTTACATGCAGAGTCATCATCCTGTTCAGGTATAATGGCTTTCGATAATATTTGAGAATTCTTCACTTTGTCTATATGGAACTTTTCAACAAGTACCTTGAGAATCGGCTCACATGTATTGTGTGGCTATGAGTAAGCAGTTCTTGACCAACGAAGCCGAGCAGTCAGCAACTCCTGTGGTTCTATTAGGTTGTCCGGAAAGGAATGCGCGTTCGAGCTTAAAAAATTTTTTATTATAAAAACGAAATTAAACAAGATAAATTCAAAAGACAATCTCCATTAGTATCAATGACTTGTTGTCAACATTTATGCAAAAAATGGATTCCTCTTCTGAAGAACTCGACCGGCTGCGACTCAAAGAAGTTGGACACCCAGAGTTGGACCTTTTTCGCGGTTTGTGAATTTTCTCTCGGCCAGGGAGTTCTGCATCGACCGGAACAGATGGTAATCGATGGTGCCAGGTCTGATCTGTGTGGCGGATGAGGCAGGACTTTCCAGCCCAATTCCTCAATTTTTTTCTAGAGTGATTTTCGCCACATGTGGATGAGCGTTGTCGTGGATAAATTTTGTCGACGTCGTTTCGACACTTTGAAGACGCAGTGCTGGATCCATGCGGTTCAATTGGTGTTTGCAGATGTCCGCCGTAACCGTCTGACCCGATTCCGGAACTTCAAAGTACATCAAACCTTTGCTATTCCACCAAACACGGAGCATCACCTTTTTGCCGCGTATATCAGGTTTCGGAGTCCGTTTTGGAGGGTCACTGGAGTCTAACCACTGTCCTTTTCTCGTTGCGTTATCGAAGCAGACCCTTTTCTCATTTGATGTAATAATAGAGTCGAAAAAACCGCTGTTCTTGGAGCGACGAAGAAGAATTCCGGCCATTGCCACTCGTGTTGCCTTGTTTGCGTCGCTCAGCTGGTGCGGCACCCGCTCTTCCCAACTTTTTTCCCCAAAAAAGCAAAGTAGACATGGACAAAAATATATCAAAAGAAGCACAATAAAAATCTCTTTCTAATAGACAAAACTGTCTCCAAAAATCTTCTATAGTAGGAGAGAAAAAAATGGACAAGTTCAAAAAATTCAACGCGCATTCCTTTCCGGACAACCTAATAGAAGCGCTGAGAAGGCCAGAAAAGAGTCCTCTATGACTGCTCTTACTGTAGTTATAGTCTCTTCAGACGATAGCGTCTGTTAGCCTTCTCTGCCAATTATTGCGTACTCAAGATGGTAAAAGTCCGCCTTGGCAGCTTCAGTCAACGCCCCCTTCACACGCCCCTCGTTTGTAGGGATCACGACTGTACCAGTAGTGACAGGTTGAGAAGGAAAACAGTGGTAGGAAACGCCGCGGGTGAGTCCAATCAATGTCTCCTGAAACTACTCCAACTGATTGCGACGATATTTACTGGATGCGACAAGCAGGGTTTGCCAAACTTGATGGCAGCCCTGCAATGAATATGTTTCGTGCCGTTCTGAAGTTGGCAGCAACTGAAGTTCTCCGCAACCAGGAATACAGCTCCTATCTCGGCGTTAGAGAGAGAGTTTCCACGAGTTTGCTCGTGATAGCGGTAGACAGCTGCTGGTTTGGGCAGATAAGAGCTAACGTGCAGCCTTGACCTTTTACTGTGCAGCCTGTGCGTTGTTATGCAGGCGCTGTCTATGCCTTCGCCTAGCAGCTGTCTATCGCCGGCGCTCATGAAGGCTGTTGCAACTCCCCTTCGAACCGCGATATGAGCTGTAATACCTTGACCTCGGCATTGGTAAAAAATATTACTATTTACTGCATAACAGTTGTTTACTTGAAATCCCAGCGGTAGGTACTTTATATTTCGTGCTTTCTGCTGTCGTAATAGTCTTGCGCAACACGCAGCGTTCCAGCACGCAGCATGTGAGTCGGTTGCCGTACGAGACGAGCAACAAGGCAATCGTAATGAATCGCGCTGAAAGTGGCTAGTGACGCCACGTCTTGGGACAGCTAATCCGTTTTTTTCTCTGTGTCTCGTTCTCGGGGTCAGACACAGACGGATTAGCACGCGCAGTCAGACACGTGGAGAGAGTGACTCATCCGCTCGAAGAGCAGTCTCCCAGCGGTACAGCGGGTGGAACGGATTGGACATCGACAAACATGATTTCTTTTGGCATTTCGGCATGGTGGGACCGCGAAAAACATTGGGGGGAAAGCGAATTCAATTGGAACGAAGCCAGCGATAGCTATCAACGGTATTGTTCAGAAAATCGTGAAGTGTAGTGTAGTGAATGCTTGTCTGAAATGAAGCGTGGGAAATCATCGCGGTAACTCTCCATATTCAATATGAGCAGCATATAGGTCCTCATTTTGGCATCAATGAAACGCTTCCATCTGGGGAAAGATACCGAAAACAGTATCTTTCCCCAGATGCAAGCGTTTCACTCTTGAGTAAACTCTTGTAACACTTCATTGACAACCCATAATTAATCAGTTCTCTAACTTACATGTCGCTTTTTTGGAGAACTACCTTCAAACGTT